TGTTTGGAAAGCGCTGTGAGACAACTGTTGTTGTGATGTGGCGCTATATAAATAAAATTGAATTGAATTTAATTGAATTTGCCCAAAAGTTTCTTCTGCCTTCAACGAGATCCCTTGTAAATAATTTTAGCTTATCTGGCAGTTTATGCTGTAATTTGGTAAGCACAAATGCCATGGGTCCTCACTGTATTTGTAAAGAAACACTAACTCAGCTACAAATGACTTCCTGGCAACGCTTTGTAGCTCATCACTCTCACATAACAGTATTGGAGGACCACAACAAGTTCAAAACAACGAATAAGATTAATAAATAGCAGCCAAAGACAGACACTTTTTTTATATGAATCAAAATGAAACAGCTTCTAAATCTGCACCCTGTCGCACGTCAGTATTAGGTTTGAATGCAAGGTTGTAAGGTAAAAAATAGGGTAGGCAAGAATAAGCTTTGCTTCGGCCTATTCCTTTTTTGGTAAGCTGTGGGTTTGTCTATTGTTTTTTTTCTTTTTTCCTTTTGTTGTTTCTTGTGTTTAATGTGGACAATTTACCAAAATAAAGTCATTGATTGATTGATTGATTGATTGATTGAAGGCCTCAAAGCCGACAAGGTTTTTCTGTCTCTGGTTGTAACTAGAGGCGTGTGTGTGTGTGTGTGTGTGTGTGTGTGTGTGTGTGTGTGTGTGTGCGCGCAGGAAAGCGACACAGACCAGGTCCAGACGGAGGCCTCCTTCGTGGTGGTGGTTGCCATCGACTTCGGCACCACCTCCAGCGGTTACGCCTACGCCTTCACGAAGGAGCCGGAGTGCATCCACACCATGAGGTGGGTCAATTATCGATACTCAAAAAAGTATGGATACTAAAATGTTGTATCCGGATACGATACTCATTTTCAAAAGTATCGATACCAACGATTTATTTACGGTATGTTTTTATTTACGTTGTTTATGATCATTAACAAGACGTTAGCCTTGCTAGCTGCGGCTAATGGCTAATAATAACATGCTACCATTAATCAAGTACGTATCCAACTCCGCCCACATCCAAGTCGGCCATTTTGATTAGGTCACCAATAGGAAGATCCCAGGCAAGAAAATCCTAATTGCTTCATGGATATAGACATTAATTTAAAAATAGTTAAATGAATCTTTTTTAACACTTAATTAAACTCTATACATATTATGGTAAAATAGTGTATATTAAATAGGTTTGTACGATAAGACCAAACAAGTTTAACCAAAAAATATTTATTTCTCACAATTATGAAGGCTGGAGGGTTAGGGTCAGGGTTAGGGTCAGGGTCAGGGTCATTAATGTGGGCCACCAGTCACGATAACATCAGTAACAGGTCAGTTTGAAATGAAAGACCCAATTCAGTTAAATTTTGGGGTCTTTGTTTTAATCCTTGTGGTATCGAAAATGGTATCGAGTATCGAGTATTTTCCTGAGTATCGGTATCGATTTGAAAATGTTAGTATCGTGACAACCCTGGTCAGCACTGTGTGGGTCAGCACTGTTTGGGGGTAAGCTGCATGCAGATCAATGCTCAGGCCTGCTGACCAGCCCTGATGCAGCAGGACCAGATTTACCTGAGTCACCATTTAAAGGAAAACCTTTTTTTTTCTCCATTTTTCCATTTTAAAATGGAACATTCTGGTTTTCTTTCTCCAAGGGCCACAAGCACCACTCTGAATATTTCCTGTCATTCTGACTCGTGATATTTCAAATGTGCTGCGCTTCGAATCAAACGTGCACATCCTCAAAATGTAGGTCCGTTTCACATGGGTGCACGTTGCTGTATTTGGGCCTTTGTGGATGTGTGCATGGTTTAAGAACCAGGTAGAAGTCAAATGTGAATAGGCTAAAAGCTGCTACCCTAAAAGTCTCTAACACCAACACCTCAGGGTGAAAATGCCCGTTTCAGAAATGAACCGCACCACATTCGAACCACATTTGAAGTATATATATATATATATATATATATATATATATATTTACTGGGAATAGACATAAAAAATGAAGGAAGAATACATTTTTATAAATGCATCAATGTTAAACAATTAGAAAAATAACAGAGCTTATTCCTAGAGAACTGAAAAACAAAAGAAAATCTAAAAACTATAGACTCCTGCGACCCCAATTCTCCTATAAGCAGAACATTTCAGGTACTCTGAAGAGATGTTTTCCTCAATCCAGTCGAATACTTCTCTCAGAAGGGGAATTACTGTGTAGCTCAAACTAATGAGGGGCCTAGTTTCCTTGTGGCTTACTGACTGGCTTTTTATAAATTAATCTGAAAATCTAAACTGTGCAACCGAGGCAAACGGTTTTGAAAAGTCGGTGTTTGATCAGCTCAAAACGAGAAGATCCGACTCATCCTTCGTGTGTAAATACGTGACTCGTCTGTTTCCAGGCGCTGGGAGGGCGGAGACCCCGGCGTGTCCAATCAGAAGACTCCGACCACCATCCTGTTGACCCCAGACAGGAAGTTCCACAGCTTCGGTTACGCGGCGCGGGATTTCTACCACGACTTGGACCCCAGCGAGTCCAAACAGTGGCTCTACCTGGAGAAGTTCAAAATGAAGCTGCACACCACCGCAGTAAGGAGACCCGCCGTCTATTCCCCAAAACACAATCCATAAATCCACTCCTTCTGACTGGGAGGATGCGTTATGTGGTGCATTTGTGTCAGGGGGGTGGATCTTGGGAGGACTCAGTCGCGGAGATTCAGAAAACAGGGTTTATTGTAACAAAAAACAGGTTCAAAAACAGGGCTGTGGCAAAACTATGAGCAAAGTAACAAACGAGGTAAACAAAACTGTGGCAAAGTATCAAAACAAGACTATGGCAAAAGTACAAACAAGATTAACATGGCTGTGGTCAAAACAAGGCTATGGCAAAGTAACAAAAAGATTAACAAAACTGTGGCAAGGCTGTGGCAAAACATGTCTATGGCAAAGGGCAAATAATCAAAACCTTACATGACGTGGGGAGACGAAAGACTAAAACGCACTGGCACAGGACATGGGAAACGAGGGCTATTTAAACACATGAGGGAGGGGAACCCCAGGGTTTTATTTCAACAAAAACACACTCAAAAGGAGTGGATGGCAGACATGGTTCAAAACAAGGCTGTGAGAAAACTATGGACAAAGTAGCAAAGCAAGATTAACAAAACTTTGGCAAAGTATCAAAGTAAGAGTAAACCAGGCTATGGCAAAAACAATAAAGTTAACAAAACTGTGGGCAAAGTAAGGCTGTGACAAAAACATGGCTATGGAACAAAAACAAGACTATGGCATGGTGCAAAAAGCAAAACCTTACGTGGCGAGGGGTGACAAAGAAATGACGAAAACACACTGGCACAGGACATGGGAAACGAGGACTATTTAAACACATGAGGGAGGGGAACCCCAGGTGTAAACAATAGGTAATCAAGACATGACAACACACCAGACATCCCCCCACCCGAAAATTTTGGATTTCACTCCCAACGAAAACACCCCCCCCCCCCTTTCAGAGACCCCACAGACCACAGACGAATCGCTTCGATGAGAATAATGTAATAGTTTAGCCTTGTCAACATGAAAGGGATTCATTTAATTCCCGGATGATTTGGTGGGCCCCACCCTGCACCATCCTGGGCTTTAGCTTTGGACTGCAGTGTTAGTTCAGCTTCTTCTCTGCATGCTGACAAAGCACCGAGGGGGGGTTTGATTTGCGCGTTTCCTCGGGGATGATGTTGCTTTTTAATCAACACAAGTTTGATTAATTTTCTAACAGGAGCCTTACAGTGAAGCTACATATTGCACGTCTTTTTTATAACTTCTGTGGGCTTTTGTCTCATTGCTTTGTTCAAATGTATTGAAATGTACTGACAAAAACAAAAAAACGATCCAGTTGCTGGGATTTTAATGGTAGTAATCTAAAAGCAGAATGTCTGTATTGATTGTTGAAGTATGAATTAACATTCCATTAACAGAGGGGTTGAAAGTGTTTTTCACTTTTCATTACAAACACAAACATTTTACTTCACTTTCTGTCTCATCTCGAGTTAATATGAAACCAAAGTGCTTGGATTATTTTGAAGGATTGATTTTTGGTTTTTTGGGAGGTAAATGCTGCTGAAAATTGTTTGTTTAAAGGAGAATGTGTATGAGTACAGTCTATTTTTTATTTATTTTGGCCTCACACACCAACAACTAAAGAACAAAACCCCTGTTTTTAAATACATTAATGATAGAATGATAAAATAAAATGCTGCAGGGGTTGTTTAGTTGTTACTTAGTAATAACTATTTACCTCAGCTACTCCGTTACAGGTATTGTGTCTGGATCAGCCAATAGAAGCAGGCTTACTATATAAATCTGCAGGGACTGAAATGTGTCCAGTTTCAGAGCGTATTCATGCCCACTAAACACTTCAGTGTCTGCTATCGTGGCTAATGGGAGTTAGCCGCCATTACGATCTATATTTTTAAAGATTGTTCATTTTTACATTCGGATCTATATTTTTAAAGATTGCATTATTCGGTTTTCTCATTTCTGTCCTATATTTTTATTTCTACATTTTATTTCTTGCTTCTCATAGAAGTGTTGTGTTGTGCGCCAAACACCAAGGCGAATTCCTTGTAAGTCTAAAAACCTACTTGGCAATAAACCTTATTCTGATTCTGATTCTGAATTGTAGCATCCAGTGACTTGCAGTTGTTTAGTCACATTTCAGAACTACAGGACTGTCTCAGAAAATTAGAATATTGTGATAAAGTTCTTTATTTTCTGTAATGCAATTAAAAAACATGAAATGTCATACATTCTGGATTCATTACAAATCAACTGAAATATCGCAAGCCTTTTATTGTTTTAATATCGCTGATTATGGCTCACAGCTTAAGAAACCCAAATATCCTATCCTATCTATTACAGAAAATAAAGAACTTTATCACAATATTCTAATTTTCTGAGACAGTCCTGTAAGTGAAGACCGAAAGATGAAGCGTTGGGCTGTTATTCAGCTCGGGGGGGTCTGCGCTTTGCTTCTGGATGAATGTGTGTGATGAGGAGCTCTGTGTGAGCGTCTGGACGGGGTTTGGATGTGTGAAAGTGCTTTGAGCGGTCAGCCACAAAAGCACCAGATAAGTACAGTCCATTTCTCCGTTGATGACCGGCACTGGGGGTCTTTTCATGGCCCCACTCTGATGGCAGACTTGGGTCAACGTGTGCCCTGATGCTGACCTCCAGCCCCCCCCCTCATTGCCTGCACTTTTCTTTGCGTTGTTGGAGCTGTCAGTAGACACAAAAGCGTCTCACTTAACAGCAGGGGGGGTCTTCCGGTCTGCGGTCTTCCCGTCTGTTAGGGACTTTCCTTATCCCGCCTAACCCGAACACCTTAAGTTTAAACAAACCACAAAGAGACACACGCACTGTCAAGTGGGTGGATCTTGAAGGGGAGGACTCAGGTGCGGAGATGACGGAAAAGCAAGGTTTATTGTAACAAAAAGGTGGAAGTCCGAACATGGTACAAAATCAAGGCTGTGGAAAACTGTGAGCAAAGTATCAAAGCAATAAGTAAACAAGACTGTGGCAAAGTAACAAAATAAAGATTAACCAAACTGTGACAAAGCTGTGGCAAAACTGTGACTATGACAAAAAGCAAACCTGGACTGACGTGGGGGTGACGAAAGACAGACGACGAAAAAGACGAAACCAGAAGGACGAAACGGACAAAACGGACGAAAGACGAAAAGACGAAAACGCACTCGCACAAGACAAGGGGAAACGAGGACTATTTAAACACATGAGGGAGGAGAACCCCAGGTGTACACAATAGGTGATCAACACATGGCGAGACACCAGACATTCCCCCAGACGTGACACGCACTGTCTTTCTTGACTTGTGCAGGAGTGGGGGGGCTCCCTTTGGGCCAGATTCATGCAACTCCCAAGCTCCTACTGCAGAAGTTCATATTTATTGTAACGTTGAGGCTGGGAGGGACAATTAGTGATATATAGTAATGTACATATTGTCACAGAGGTGGATCTTAGGGAGGACTCAGTCGCGGAGAGGGTTAGTTCAAAGGGTTTTATTTCAACAAAAACACACTCAAAAGGAGTGGATGGCAGACATGGTTCAAAAACAAGGCTGTGAGAAAAACTATGGACAAAGTAGCAAAGCAAGATTAACAAAACTGTGGCAAAGTATCAAAGTAAGAGTAAACAAGGCTATGGCAAAAACAATAAAGTTAACGAGACTGTGGGCAAAGTAAGGCTGTGACAAAAACATGGCTATGGAACAAAAACAAGACTATGGCATATGGAGAATTTAAATCAGCAAGTCTGGGGTCACGGGGAGTGCGTGACCCAAAATATTCCAAAATATATAAATATATAAGTGAGACCTAAAACAAAAGGGAGAGGTTCATGACCGGAGACATACCGTGTTGTAACAAAGAAAGGCACGACACATTTTAGGAGAAAACAACAATAATTCTCCAACACCATCCTACATCTATGACTTTGGCATCTGTCCTTCTCTCTGTTTCTGTGCTGATCAGAATCTGTCCATCGACACCGACCTCCACGCGGCCAATGGGAAACGAGTGAAGGCTCTGGACATCTTCGCATACGCACTGGCCTTCTTTAAGGAGCAAGCGTTAAAGGTAACACATCCACAAGCTCTACTATCCTCTTTGATAGCATTTTTTTAGAACAGATCTCAAGGGAATAAAGTTTCTGAGGCTCTTCCAGTTAAAACCTATAAATCAATTAACAAAGCAGCCTTTTGTGTGGACTAACTGTTACTTTATGACAAAAGGAAACGGCGAACCAGTGTCCTCATTTTTTAGGGATGCCAGATTATGGTGACTAGCTTATTCCACACCTGAACATCAACTCCTGTGTTCAAATCTTTTTTTTTAAAGGAGCTGAGTGATCAGACTGGTGGGGATTTTGAAAACAGTGATGTGAGATGGGTGATCACAGTTCCCGCCATCTGGAAGATGCCTGCCAAGCAGTTCATGAGGGAAGCTGCCTACAAGGTGGGTTGAACAAATTTGTTGAGCTCCTTCTTTGTGTCCAGACTGCAGCTTAAACCCAGAAACCTTTTTTCACGTCATTAACTCATTGACTGCCAGCCATTTTCAGAACAGAGTCCCATACTGCCAGAGTTTTTTGAGCATTTTGACTGATTTTTCAAGAGCCACAGAATAGTTTGTGCTATGACTATGTAAACACCGAACACACCAAAAGAAAGAGTAGACTCTCTTCTTTCATCAGGAAAAAACATTTGTTTCTACCTTATTCCGTTCTTCCTGGACTTGCGTCTCACCGGCGACATGTTCTCTCATAGCGAACCGTTACCTTTTTCTTATTTGCCTACAGTCTATGCTCATCTCCCATCAAAAGTGGCACTGCCCCCTAGAGGGTCAATTTGTTACTACATACATACAGATCGTCCCCCAGCCACTCTCGTTGAAAAACATAAAAGACCTCTATAGACGTCTTTGGCAGCCAATGAGTTAATGTGCCTTATGGATGGAAAAAGGTCAGTGTAGAGACACAAAGAAAAGGGAAAAGCGCTCCTCCCCATCATAGTTCACCTTCAGAGACCAGGCCTGCCGACTGCAGTGACTCAGCATCTGGCAGATATCGTCCCATTGGCTGTCCACAGAGGACTCAGGGAGGGGGGGAGGCCTTCATCTGTCTGCAGCCCTTTCTCTGTCTCTGCTAGAGCCTGTTCCTATTGATTTATTCCAGTCCGTAGTGATCGATGTGTCACTGACAGCATTTCCTACCTCATGCTAGCAAGCTGGGGTTACAGCGCTGCTCAAGAAACCATAAAAAAGGCCATTGAACGGACAGTCGTTAAGCAGGTCACAGAGTACTTTTTGCTAAACAACCTCCTTGATACAAACCAATCTGGGTTCAAAAGTGGCCTCTCCACCAAAACGGCTCTGCTGACTGTGAAAGCAGCCTTATAGAAACTAGAGCAACAGCCAGGTGCTCAGTACTCATCCTGCTTAAATCAGGTCATAGCCAACCGTTAATTTTTTTGTCTGTTCTCTGGAGCATGGTGATAACATCAGGGAGAGCACTCTCATGGTTTGAATCCTACCTCCCTGGTCGGTCAGTCAGAATAACCTGGCATGGCCACACTTCTGTAGAGCACCACCTAACCAGAGGAGTCCCCCAAGGTTCAGTAATGGGACCTCTTCTCTTTACCATATAGACTACCTCACTGGGCCAGATCATCCAACACAACACAAGGTCTCAGCAGGTATCTCAGACTGGGTTTCTGACTTATCAAAATAGGTCAAAACCCATCACCTATAACTCAATCTCTCTAAAACTGATCTGCTCATCTTCCCAGCCAAACCAACCACACACACATTGTTCACATCCAGACTTAATCCCTGTCTTTGCTCCAATCAAAGGTAGCTCGAAACTTGGGTGTCATGGTCAATAACCAGCTGACCTTTAAAGATCATGTTACCTGTTTTGCTCGATCGTGGGGCCTCGCATTACTACACATAAGAAATATCTGGCCATACCTAATCGAACATACCACCCAGCTCCTGGTGCAGTCTATGGCCATAAATACTGCAACCATCTCTCTGACAAATGAGTCAGAACATAGTGGTGCGTCTGGTCTTAGATCAGCCTAAAAGGTCCCTCATCACCCTCCTACTCACTTCGCTTCCCCGGCTAACCCTAGACCTCCACATAAAATCCAACCCTCTACTGTCAGCCTAAAAAGATCTTAAGGGTACGGCTCCAATCTACTTTAATGTCACAGCTCAGTCCTCAAAGATTATGCTCTACATCACGTTTAAGACAATCCAGAGTCAATTAAGTGATTTCCTTCTATGTAACTTATTGTTAGCTTTGATGCTAACTGTTTTGTTGTATCCGCATCATAAATTATTTTAGTTTGGTTGTAGTTTTTTTCAGCTCATCCTTTAAAAAACAAAACAAACAGTGTTGATGAATTGTTCCATGGATAGGCCAACTCCAGACATGAGATCTGGGTGAAAACTACAGGACTGTCTCCGAAAATTAGAATATGGTGATAAAGTTCTTTATTTTCTGTCATGCAATTAAAAATCATGAAATGTCATACATTCTGGATTCATTACAAATCAACTGAAATATCGCAAGCCTTTTATTGTTTTAATATAGCTGATTATGGCGTACAGCTCTAGAAAACTCAAAAATCTGATATTCTAATATTTTGAGATAGGATATTTGGGTTTCTTAAGCTGTAAGCCATAATCAGCGATATTAAAACAATAAAAGGCTTGCGATATTTCAGTTGATTTGTAATGAATCCAGAATGTATGACATTTCATGTTTTTTAATTGCATTACAGAAAATAAAGAACTTTATCACAATATTCTAATTTTCTGAGGCAGTCCTGTAGAGGCTTCTTGAGCAGTTTTCTGCGATTGGTGCGAGTCAATTTTTCCCGTTTGCTTCGTTCCACAGTCTGGTCTGGTGTCCCGCGAAAATCCCGAGCAGCTAATCATCGCCTTGGAGCCCGAGGCGGCGTCCATTTACTGCCGAAAGCTGCGCCTCCACCAGATGGTGGACCTGGGAACGCAGACCAACCAGAACGGCTTCAGCCCCACCGACAATGTGGGAAGTGGAATGACCCAAGGTACGTCCTCTGGGGAGGGAAATGAAGCGGTTCTGTACCGTGAGTCATCTGTACAGTTCGTGTCCCTTCTGATTTCCGTGACTTCTTTGTATTGATTGCTCTGACTTCCTGTTGTTTCTCTCTGTAGTGTCTCCAGGCCACGGTAAATCCCTTTTCGAGCTAGACACAGAATGCATGCTGCACATTGACTGTTCATTTCTCTAAAATCACCACTTTTTTATATTGGTTTTGCTTCTTTTCTGGTCACATCTCATCAATAATGAATTAGCGCAGTGTCATTAAATCAAACATTATATTCATTCATTTTATAATTAGGGAATGCATCTGTTTCTCCTCCACAGTAATAAACCACAAAATTGCTCAAACTTGTTCCAGATTCTAATCTGTTTTTGTGTTTTTAATGATAACCATTTACTTGGAGTATCTGGTACATTCTATCTCCGATTGCAATCTACAGCAGTTGGTATTTCGCTGTAAATTCAACATGGAATACCTTTGTGAGATGTTTCAAGATGATCGAGAAGCAGCAACAGCAAAAAACCCACCCGTTCTGTCCCTTTTGTTTTGGTGCACCCCCACCTAAAATGCAGAATAACCAGAGTTTAAGTCTTTTCACTTCCCTGTAAAGTCTCCTTGTGTTTAGCACGCATGCATAAAGCAAAATGGAGTTTCTGCTTGGTAGAAGTGAGGACGTTCAGAGAGCTATAGGAAACCTCTGGCTCTGTTTTTATTTCATGCTTTATGCTCTGGAAGATGCTTTGGTGGAGGATCTCACAAATAAATGAGGGCTGAAGTTGATTATCTACAAGCTGCTATATGTTTCTAATCTAAAACCAGTTAAAAATGACTCAGTTTAGTTTTAAACTTGAGGTGACCCGCAGGGGTTTTAATCCTCTCCTGTTCAGCTTTTTATGGTTTCCTGTCAGAAAGCCACTTTTGGCTCTTCCAACTTTCCTCTGTTAGTATTATTTTGATCAAAAGAGACAGAGACACAGACTTTTCGTGGATATTAGCAGCACAACATATGGATTCTTTCTTCATAAATAACTGGCAGGCTTTTGCCGGTGTGAGGACATTTTTGCCGCAGCATCAGAATAAAATACGGCCTGTGGGCCGTTATCCTTCCTGTAATATATTCTGTCCTCTGTGTAGGAGGAAATCTGCCCCTGACCTTTTCTTTTCCTGCTTTAGCGGGACAACCTTAGTTCACATGACATAAGTCCCCATTAACATATCTCCGCTTGGGGTTTTACAACCTACTCAAGCCGCAAGGATCTTTTCCCTTTAATTTCCCTGAAATGTATCAATATCCTCCTGAAACCCAAAGAAAAAAAGTGTCTTCAAATTTCTTTTTTGTTGTGATTTTCCATGTATTTGGACCTAAAAAAGAACATTACAATTTAATTTTTTTTTAAAATATTTTTTATTTTAATTTCATAGCATGTCCACTGTGGAGGACAACAGGACGATTTGCCTGGGAAAATAGAACAGGCTTTAGATAATTAAATAATAAACAAGAAGATGTCTTGAAAGGGATATTTACCTAAGAACTCTTAGGGAAAAAGTAAAGTTCCCAGCATGCAAAGCTATCACATGGCACATCACTGGAAAGCCCAGGATGTCCTCTACAGAACACTATAGGGCTGATAGGGTAACTCCAGATACTTAGGGGGGTACAGGTGGACAAAATGTCCGCTATAATGGACATAAATTATTGGGCCGGGTCTCAGGAGGATATTCAAATCAGATGCAAATGAAAAACTGATATTAGTGATATTAGACCCTTAATTTAGTACTTTTCATAGGAGGCTTTGGCAGTAGTTCCCATAGACTTTGCACAGGGGAATCCCACTCTGTAATGGTCATGCTGGGGATACCAGAAGGAGACACAAAGGGAAAACGTACCGGAACTAACAGTGGATGGGAGCCTGAGTCTTGACTCAGTTGTTTTAGGTCTTGTGTGGAGTTAAATCCTATCCTTATTCCATGTATCGCTATCAGCTAACAGTGTTCTAAAGGGGATAGCCTCATCGATTCACAGCAAAAGCTTCAGTCAATGCCGGTTTTATGCCGTAATGAAAGAGTAGATGATGATTCCAGTTCTAATGCTAGTCTGATGGCTGGTTTGCTGTTTAGTTTATCTTGTTTTGTTTAGTTTTTTTCCAGAGCATACCGCTTAGTATCCTAATTCTTTAATTCATTGACTGACGGTACATCTACTGTAACTTAGTACCAGCTTCTCCTTCAGTCATACTTCCTAAACAGCCTTTTATGAGCAGGCTTAATAGCAGTTCACCAGGGTTTGGAGGGTGGGATCCCTCTCAAGACGTAAATCGAGAGCTCTTTTTGTTCTTTTTTTTCGATTATTTTATGGGTTTTATGGTAAAAGGTTGCTTCTCTCAGTTTGGGGGACGGTTTGGAAGGACGTTCTTGGTGGCAAACTTGTGATTATCTTATCATTTTTTTAAATAAGAATATCCCAAAGGTGGAAGAGTGCGCTTTAACAAGCTGTCCTCCTAGGATTTACTAGAATTTATCTCATTTTTAATCGACTTATAGTGAATTTGAGTGATTTCCAGACATTCTTTCATTCTCCGATAAGTTATTTTTCTTCAAGTTTTCTTTTTATCAGTCACATTAAAATTGTCGTGGTCCATTACAGGATTTAGATTTCGTACCAAAACGATTTATTATTTGGAATGATATCTTTAAAATGTGTGCATGAAGCCGAGGGACGCTGACATTTTCTGAAAACGGCAGGATCTTTGCCTTTTGCTGTTATTTCAAAGGACGGTAGCAGCTTGAAGGGCTCCTCAGCGATTATATGGGAGCACACACACACCCCAGTCTGCTGCTTGCTTCACACACTGCTGTGTTATGTCCAATGTGAGCCGCACAGCAAAGCTTCAGGCCATCGTCACACTCACAGCAACATTCTCTCTCTGTTAACAACCAGCTAAGGAGCATGTCCGTCGCAACCGACAGAGCCGCACCTTTTTGGTGGAAAATGTCATAGGGGAGCTTTGGTCGGAGCTGGAAGAAGGTAGAGTCCCCCTCTCTCTTCTCGTAATCACCTGTTTCTCTTTGTTTTCCTCTTGCTTTTCCTGTAAATGCTGTTGCTGGTGCCAACCGGGCGTAGAAAAAAAAAAAAAATGCGGCACGTCTTTGTTTGTTTAACTCGATAGGCATCCATAGTTTTCTCCATATTTACAAAGAATTACAAAAGTCTGTCATTCTTCAAACTGAAAATTGTTCTTATTTCATTGTTATTAACACATTTTTGTTGGTTCATTGCTAAATTCAATCAATGGAAGCAGCATGATGATAACAATAATGATGATTACGTTGAACTTCAAGTTTTTAATGTGTTTCTTTTTAACTCAAGAAGTCAGAGGAAAAGAAAGCTGTCAGTTTAGGCTGAGTTTTTTTCTCTATAGTTCTATCTGTTTGCAGCCTGTGGGATCATTTGACTGAACAGTTTCCCGTCTAAAAGGCTAAATAGGCTCTTCGGCCACGCAGTGTTTAGCAGCTAACCCATAACTAACAGCGTGAAGCTCCAAAACCCCTCTGCAGACCAAGTGTCAGATCCAGTCTTTGACCAAAAACGAGAACGGTTTCAGCCAATCGCTAATCCCAATCTTTAATTCAATTCAATTTTATTTATATAGCGCCACATCACAACAACAGTTGTCTCACAGCGCTTTCCAAACAGAGCAGGTCAGACCTACTCTGAAGTTAATTACAGAAACCCAACAATTCCCACCGTGAGCAAGCACTAGGCGACACAGGCAAGGAAAAACTTTAGACTCTGTCCGCGGAGCCTCTACTGACCCCATAAAAACTCAGTTTATGGGGTCAGTAGAACACGAACAGCACTTTGGATCATGTGTGACATCACGCCAGACCTCCTCTAAAGGGTTTCTGTGTTTTGGGTTGATCCTAGATGGGGGAAACGAGTCGTTTTTGAGCCGGCGACTGTTGTGGTCAACCGCTCAGGGCTTCATTTCCACCCCCTCTCTGCCCAGGTGACCGCTACGTGGTCGTGGACTGTGGTGGAGGAACTGTGGACCTGACGGTGCACCAGATCCGCCTCCCAGAAGGACATCTCAAAGAGCTCTACAAGGCCTCAGGTACTGTGTGAAGGGGCTGAAGCTCCCACTTATCCTAACCCTAACCCGTACCTCTACCCCCCCACAGCTCCTTCTGTAGTCCCTCTACCTCTATCTCTATCTCACCACTGACTCTGATCAGGGTTTCTCTTCTGGATAGCTTATTGTCATAGTGATCTGAAATGGAATTTTGGGTCTACTCTGTAAGTCGCTTTGGATAAAAGCGTCTGCCAAATGCAGAAACAGAAACAGAAACAGAAACACTTGCTTTGGCCTGACTCACATGTAGAACCATCTTCTGACCCCAGGTGGACCCTACGGCTCCATCGGGATCGATTACGAATTCGAGAAGCTACTGTGCAAGATCTTCGGCCAGGATTTTATCGATCAGTTCAAGATAAAGAGGCCGGCTGCCTGGGTGGACCTGATGATCGCGTTCGAGTCTCGGAAGAGGGCGGCGGCTCCGGACAGAACCAACCCCCTCAATATAAACCTGCCCTTCTCCTTCATCGACTACTACAAGAAGTTCAGGGGCCACAGCGTGGAGCACGCCCTGCGCAAAAGCAAGTGAGTCCAAACAGGAACCGAACAAGGCTAGTTTGGTAGGAATGGAGCGGGAGCTAGCTTGGTTTTAAAGTTGCATTCATGAGCCAAGAGAGATGCAGATGTTGTAAAACTAGTAGAAATGTGTGCTCAACACAAGGGGATTGGGTCCTAATATTGTGTCTTCATGGCATGTAGAAATGTCATGGTTTCAACGCCATTTCAAAGGTGGAGAATAATCAGAATTTTATACGATAGAGGAGAATCCAGGCCTGTGGCGCATAATAAATGTTAAATATATCTCAGTAAAACCGATAACACTTGATTTACTCCCATGCTAACATATTATTTAATAATCGTGACCTAGAAAAAGATGTTGGCCATGTGTTTATCTAAATGTGTTAGACATGAGCCAGGAGACCAATTAGTGTGAGCAAGAACTTAATTTGTTATTGTTTTGTTTGTCTTTACATCCAAAGCTCAGATGGAGAAGATTGTCAGTGTGAGGACGTTAGCGATGACTAAGCAATTTATTGAGCTCAAAATAGAATAACAGATTGTATTCTTCTGTGTGAATTAATGAGTCATGTAATTGTAATGAACACACAACGTCTGACTGACTTTGTTCCCTCTCCAGTGTGGACTTTGTTAAATGGTCATCTCAGGGGATGCTGAGGATGAATCCCGATGCCATGAATTCCCTCTTTAAGCCAACTATTGACCACATCATCCAGCATCTGAGTAAGCCCCTTTCCCTTTTTACCTTTCTCCATTGTGGCAATGCGAACATCTGTGGGTCAGTGATGGGAAAACAGCGCCGAATACGAGAGTTTCGCATAATAATTGGCTCTTTAGAGGCGAAGCTATTCCTGTCAAAGCTAAATGAGATACCAGTGGAGGGATCTGCCGTCTTGGGGATGAGCTCGTTTTTTAGTCATGAGAGTGGTGGAGTAGGAAACCTAAGCCTCATTGCGTTGTGACTCCTCTGAGACGATGATTTCAACCCCTATCAGATTGAAATTGTCGGCTTTATCGAATGCCATCAGAACAGCAGGCTTATTTATGCTCCAGCTGGTGAGCCATCAATATATAGCAAAAAAGAGATTTTAAAGATGAGTTTTAACCTCCTGAGTCCCAGCATCCCCACATGAGGATTTTTTTGCCTCTCTTTACCATGATACTTCTTTTTTTTTTTTTAAACGTTAACCCTTTAGTCTCATACCAGACGCTATCAGGCACAAATCTTTTTAATTATATACATTTTCAACCAATCATGTCATTGTGTAATTAAAATGTTGTAACAAAGTCATTTGGACCCTCAGAATCCAATTTCTGAGTAAATGTTCAAATGCTTACATTTTTTATCCGAATATATAAACTACTGAAGGAAAACTACCTGTACCGTGACAAAGTTTTTTTTTTGTAATTCAAGTTTTTTATTTTCCTTTAAACAATCAAACAACTACGGTACAAAGCTTGCATGGTATAGTATACAAAAAGTAACAGCTTAAAACACATGGTCAGACAATTAACGTAGAGATAAGGATAAAAGAAAAAATAGATGGTGTTCCTGGATGATGAAGGAAAGAAAAATAAAATAAAAAGATAATTATAGAATAAGTAGGTAAAAAAATAAGATAAAAAAGGGTCGCTACTGAGAAGTCAGGTACACTTGAAAGAAATACCAATTATTTAACACCACCTGTCCTTTGCCGTACCGTGACGAAGTTAAACTTATTAATCCCATAAACGAACATAAACGGTCTATAGACATCTTTTATGTTTTTCAACGAGAGTGGCTGGGGGATGATCTGCTAAAGCTTGTCTGTAAATATCAGGCTTCTAGACAGAGTATGTAGTAACAAATTGACCCTCTAGGGGGCAGTGCCACTTTTGATGGCAGATGAGCATAGACTGTAGGCAAATAAGAAAAAGCTAACGGTTCTATGAGAGAACATGTCGCCGGTGAGACGCAAGTCCAGGAAGAACGGAATAAGGTAGAAACACATATTTTTTCCTGATGAAAGAAGAGAGTTTACTCTTTCTTTTGGTGTGTTCGGTGTTTACATAGTCATAGCACAAACTATTCTGTGGCTCTTGAAAAATCAGTCAAAATGCTCAAAAAACTCTGGCAGTATGGGACTCTCTGTTCTGAAAATGGCTGCCAGTCAATGAGTTAAAATATTCAATTGTGGAACGTTGTGGGGTCCTGGGAGGTTGAACGAAGTCTGCAAAAATCCCGTTTGTGCTCACCTCCCACAGCCGAGCTCTTCGAAAAGCCCGAGGTCAGCGACATCAAGTTCCTGTTCCTGTTGCGGGGCTTTGCGGAGTATTTAACTCATTGGCCAAAGACATCTATAGACGTCTTTTATGTTTTTCAGCGAGAGTGTCTGGGGGACGATCTGCTAAAGCTTGACCGTAAATATCGGCTTCTAGCCAGAGTATGTAGTAACAAATTGACCCTCTAGGGGGCAGTGCCACTTTTGATGGGAGATGAGCATAGACTGTAGGCAAATAAGAAACAGGGAACGGTTCGATATGAGAGAACATGTCGCCGGTGAGGAAGAACAGAATAAGGTAGAAACAATTTTTTGTTCCTGATGAAAGAAGAGAGTCTACTCTTTCTTTTGGTGTGTTCGGTGTTTACATAGTCATAGCACAAACTATTCTGTGGCTCTTGAAAAATCAGTCAAAATGCTCAAAAAACTCTGGCAGTATGGGACTCTCTGTTCTGAAAATGGCTGGCAGTCAATGAGTTAAACTTACTAAACCAATAAACGCACACCAAATAAAGTCTGGGGTCCCGGGAGGTCTGCAAAGTCTGCAGAATCCCGTCAGTGAACGCAGCGTTTGTTCTCGCCTCCCACAGCCGATCTCTTCGAGAAGCCCGAGGTCAGCGACATCAAGTTCCTGTTCCTGGTGGGGGGCTTCGCGGAGTCGTCCCTTTTGCAGCAGGCCGTGCAGGACATGCTGCGCGGCCGCAGCCGCATCATCATCCCCCACGACGTGGGCCTGACCATCCTGAAGGGCGCCGTGCTGTTCGGGCTGGACCCCGGCGTCATCAAGGTGCGGCGCTCGCCGCTGACCTACGGCGTGGGCGTGCTCAACCGCTTCGTGGAGGGGAAGCACCCGCCGGAGAAGCTGCTGGTGAAGGACGGAACCCGCTGGTGCACCGACGTCTTCGACACCTTCATCGCCGCCGACCAGTCGGTGGCCCTGGGCGAGCTGGTCAAGCGCAGCTACACGCCGGCGCGGCCCTCCCAGCAGGTCATCGTCATCCACGTGTACTGCGCCGAGCGCGAGGGCGTGGGCTTCATCAGCGAGCCCGGCGTGCGGAAGTGCGGCACGCTGCGATTGGACGTTAGCGGCACGGCCAGCGCCGCGCCGCGCCGAGAGATCCAGACGCTCATGCAGTTCGGAGACACCGAGATACGAGCCATGGCCGTGGACGTGGCCACCGGACGCACCGTCAAGGCCGGCATCGACTTCCTCAGTCACTAGGCCACACACACACACAGCTTACACACACACACACAGCTTACACAGCTTACAAACACACACACATACAGTGGGGGAAATAAGTATTTGACCCCTTGCTGATTTTGCAGGTTTGCCCACTTACAAAG